AGCAAACAACTTCCTCCATCACAAGAGAAGTTGTCCTCCAAACTATTGACATTCCTCTTTTCCTTTCCTCTGACAGAAGAAAATGTAAGCATTCATAAGTCGTATATCACCAATAAAATTATAATTGCCAGGAAGCAATTGATACCTGAAGCTGTGAGAGCTCCTCAAGATACTCAGGTGAGCAGATATCCGGCCTGGTGGACAAACCCTGACCTAATTTTACAAAAGTAGGCCCTAACCTAGTAAAAATCCTCCTCAGTTCAGCAGCTCGCTTTCTCTTATATTGATCCAACGTCCCGTACCTTTGATCGAGCAAGAGTTCAAAAGCAAATGAACCTAGGGCTACCACAATTTCCAGAGTCCTATGCAATGCCTAATCATTGTAATTTTCATCCAAATCTAAAGCATCGATCAAAATTTGTCTTGTAGATAATAATTAATTGTAGAAAGGGGAAAACAGGGGACCTGGATGGGGCGTGAGCCGTACTTGCGAGACAGAAGTTCGGGGCTATAAACGGAAGCATTGGCGGCGCGTGCCATGGCCCTGGCCTCCGCTTGTAAATCCTCGGCTCTATCCGCTCGAAACAATTGCACCGCCACCGAACCATTGGCTTTGGGTCTGGCTTCCACCAGAGCAGCTCGGGGTCTCCATCTTGGTCTGAAAATATGTATTTTAGTTGATTTATTAGGGCTATAATGTGATGAAATATATTTCAAATACATAATTATTATATTTAATCTAAAGATTATATTTTTAAATACATATAATTAAATTACATATATTTAAAATACATATTTGAAATACACCCTCTAAATTTAAATGAGCATTCCTAAACATAACCTTAATAATTTTTATGAATTAATTTGCAAAATCTTTTGTCTTGGCCACCGTACACCATAAGGCCTCATTTTGGCCTTATTCTATTCAATTCAACTCAACAATAGAATATTAGATTCATCACTGAATAATTATTGAGGCTAAACACTACTTTTTAAGAAAAAGTTTGTCACTTGCTTCTTTTCAAGACTTATTTATAAGCATTTTCCCTAAATTTTAGAAAATACTAACATTTCTTAAAAAAAAACAAAAAAAAAAAAACAAAAGTGGTACTTATGAGTGACATATAAAGATGCTTTGTAAATTTATTGGGTGGCTGATCATCTTCTACCAACTACTTACTATGGTTTCTCTAATAGACATAGTAATTTTTGAATTTGAATCATATATAATATATATGTGTGAGATGGGTAAAAATTTAGAGATGAATTGTCTTATTCCAATTTGCATACCTAAAGAAATTAAAGTGATTAAAAAGAAATAAAGAGATTATATATATGTATATATATTTGGTTTCATTTCGGTTTGCATTTGGTACCACTCTTATTCTCTTGTATACCTAGACAAATAAAAAGGTAATCACAATGCATTGCTTTTAATTCTTTTGCTTTCTTTACAAAGTAAATTTACACTCACATGAGCGATGCCCTTTACATGGTCCTACCGTGTTAGCCTTTGACGTTAAGTCAAAACGGAAGTGTGATGTGGCAAATGGCATCCTAACTTTTCTTCTTCTTCTCCTTCTTTTCTTTTTTTTTTTTTTTTACTAATTTTGAAAGAATAGAAAAGAGAATCTTGCCAAATCGACAACCCAAGTTATAGTACTTTCAATGCTTTAAAACGATTGACCCTTATGCGTCTCAAATCTATTATTAGAAGTATTAAAACAAATAGATAACCCAATCAAAAAGAAAAGAGAAACAATAAAAAATAAAAGCTAAAGTTCTTCGTGTCTCGTGTGGTGTGTACATCGCATACATACACACCCTAAAGAGTAAAGTGTCTAAAGACCAAAGACACAAACTAGGAAAGCAAAGGGAGTAGCTTTCGACTGACCTTTACCTTTTTTTAATTTTTGCAAGGCAGCTCTTTTACCATCGCTTTAAAACCCTGATGACACTATTTTCGAATATAGGATTACCTTCTATATTCGTGCAATAATTAACATCTCTTTCTTCAATTCAAATTCCTTTATGACACTATACCCAATAAATTTGTCACCATCTTCTCATCTCCTCATAACCAATATTATACTATATATGTAGTCTGAAGTTGAACAGAATTAACCCTCTGCAGATATGGAGATTTTGTCACAGATGTGGTCGTTCTTGGGACTCCTAACAGTACTCCAGAACATCCTGCCCTCCCAGATCCTATCCCTCCTCCATTCCTTCTACGAGTCCCTCCAAGACCTCTTCTCCCCTTACTCCTACTTCGATATCCCCGAATTCAACGGTTACTGTGGAGTCGACATCAACGAACTCTACCGCGATGTCAACCTTTACCTCAACTCCCTTAACCCCGCCGCCGCTGCCACCAACTGCCGCCGCCTCACCCTCTCCCGCTCCAAGTCCTCCAACCGCATTTCCTTCACCGTTGCCCCCAACCACACTGTGCAGGACACCTTCCTCGGTCACTCTCTCTCTTGGACGCACCACGTGGAGACCGTACAAGATTCCCTCGACGAGAAACGTAGCTTCACTCTCAAGCTTCCCAAGCGCCATTGTCACAATCTCCTCAACCCCTACCTCAATCACGTTAGCTCGAGTGCTGAAGAGTTTGAGCGTGTGTCACGTGAGAGACGCCTCTTCACCAACAACGGCCATGGCTCTTTCGAGTCAGGTTGGGTGTCTGTCCCCTTCCGTCACCCTTCTACCTTTGCCACTCTGGCGCTGGAGGTCCAGTTGAAGAGGCAGATAACGGAGGACTTAATGGCGTTTGCCAGTGGGAGAGACTTCTATCACAGAGTTGGACGAGCCTGGAAACGAGGATACCTGCTGTATGGCCCACCAGGGTCTGGAAAATCAAGTTTAATTGCAGCCATGGCTAACTATCTCTGCTACGACGTCTATGATCTCGAGCTTACAAAAGTCACGGACAATTCTGAGCTGAGAGCGCTGCTTATTCAAACAACCAACCGTTCCATAATTGTTATTGAGGACATAGACTGCTCTGTTGATCTAACGGCAGAGAGAGTGAGAAAGACGAGCAACAGAAGGAGATCACAGGCGGCATCAGGGAAACGAGCAGACAATTATAATAATTATTATTATTATCATAAGAGTAGTTTAGAGGAGAATAATGGTGGTAGAGTGACATTGTCAGGTCTGTTGAACTTCACTGATGGGTTATGGTCATGTTGTGGAGAGGAGAGGATCATCGTCTTCACCACCAACCATAGAGACAACGTGGATGAAGCCCTGGTGAGATGTGGGCGGATGGACGTGCATATAAACCTAGCCACCTGCGGAATGCACGCCTTCAAAGTGCTGGTCAACAACTACCTGAAACTGGAGTGGCATGAGTTGTTTGACGTGGTGGACAGCTACATAAAGGCGGGTGGGGCACTAACGCCAGCACAAATAGGAGAGATCTTGTTGAGGAACAGAGGAGATGCAGACGTGGCAATGAAGGAAGTGGTGTCGGCCATGCAGATGCAGGTTAAGAATCAGAATCACAGCCGCAGGGAGTATGACGAGATGATGATGATGATGAGTAGGTCACCGGAGAGCATATTATTGGGAGGAGGATCGCCAGAGAATTGGGAGTCATCATCACCAGGGAAGGCTTTGGGGAGAAAAAGGAAAGAGAATGGAGAGAAGAAAGCGAATTTCTTGGTGAGGCTGAGGTCATTGACCAAGTCCGAGTCTGGCAGAAGAGGTGTATGAGTAATTGTTTTGTTTTGAACAAGAAGTACCACTAAATGGTTTGTTTTGTTTTGTTAGATGTATTTCTATTATCTAATGGAAATGGAGTATGAATACACAAAACAAATAGTTAGATTATAAGATGAGAAAAATAATAGTAACATTCAAGTGGAAAATTGGAATGGTAAGTTAATAACGAAGGGAAAAAAAAAATATCAACGTCACCATCCCGAAGGCTATACGCGTGTCCAAACTTTATTTTATTTTATCTTATCATCAAAAGAAAAAAGAAAAAGCAGTTAAAAAAATAATAATAATTTATTAAAGCCAGCCGATCCCTCACCCCTATCCCATAATTGATCTATCCTTTCCAGATTTCAGTGGTGCGCCTCATCGACGATGGGAGTGGTGCTAATCGACGGATCAACGGTGCGAGCCTTCGTCAGTGACGAAGAACAATTCAACAAGAGCGTGGAGGAGAGCTTTGCAGCTCTGGACGTCAACAAAGATGGTGTCCTCTCCAGGTCAGAGATGCGCAAGGCCTTCGAATCCCTACGCCTCATAGAGACCCACTTCGGAGTGGACGTAGCCACGCCTCCCGACCAGCTCACTCAGCTCTACAATTCCATTTTTGACAGCTTCGATGGCGACCACAGTGGGACCATTGATCTCCAAGAGTTCAGATCCGAGATGAAGAAGATCATGCTTGCTATAGCAGACGGCCTGGGATCCAACCCTATCCAGATGGCTCTCGAGGATGACGACCAGAGTTTTCTCAAGAAGGCTGCTGATCTTGAGGCTGCCAAGCTTAACAATCCCCATGGCAAGGCCCACGACCAGGACCAGGCTTCTTGATGTTAATTACTTTCTATTATATTTGCTGTGTCAATTGTTATCATTCCTGCCGCTTGAATTAATAAACTTCTTCCATCCTATGCTTTTGAGTGCTTAACCATTCCCTCTTTTTATGGATCTACCTAATACCATTATGAATGGCGAATATCATTTACTAACCCCCAAACTTACCCAACTACATTTCAAAAATATATCATATGAGAACAAACTACATTTTAAGAAGCAACGCAAATTGCTTGGCACCCCCATTTGATGCCCATTCCGCATAATACAAGAAACCGAAAAACATTACCAGCAAAAATACAGGCTTATTAAAGCAACTTCTATTGTTACATCACATGCAAAATAATGCAAACTCTAGCCCCTGCCTAGCAGTTCCGTTCTAATTCATCAGCCGGGGTGCCCATCCACATGCGTGGAAATGTTTCAAAAAAATCAGATATCTTCGCATAGTCAGAAGAAGAACCGCAGTGTGTAGCCTCTTCACCATTTCTATCAATACTTTTATCAATGGCTTTGTAGAAGCAGACTTCATTCTCCATAGAACGCCCATTGATGGGATCTTTCTGTTGCAGCAATGTTGAGAGTGAGCCCATAAAACGCGAGTTTTGCTTCGGCACCCAAATCTACACCATGATTGAACTACAATTGATCAATACAAATCTAGCCAGGTGAAGCTTAAGTTGCACACCTTGCTAAGCAGACAACCACAAACACACGATAAATCCACATAATTGTCAACAAAAGCTGCACGAAGCAGAATAGAAGTTAGTACCAGTACTCCATTCAATACTGAAGTTCTAAATAATGTGTGGATTAACTTCAAAAAATGGCAAAAGTAAAATTAAAAACCATTGAGAACAACCAATGACCCAAAAGTACCTAATAATCATTGTCATCATTGCTAGAACTGGAGCTGTCATCTTCATTTTTGCTTTCTAGCTGGCCTGAACTTCCTGCATAGATTTTAAACAAATAGGTCATGAGGAGGATGACAGAGTTGGAAACTAGAACTGTGATCAACTAATTAACGTACTGGTTCTATCATAAGCTCGCATCCAATCTTGCAGACAAATCAAGGCTTGTATTGTTTTTGATTTCAATGAACTGCAATAAGGGCTTATCACTTGGGAACCCATGACAAATGCATTCTCTGAAGAAATTGTGGACACTGGAATGGTCAAAACATCACGTGCCATTCTTGAAAGAGCTGGATATCTCACAGAGCATAGACTCCAAAACTCTAAGATATCTATTTCACTGTTTAGATCATGGCTAGGTTCTTCTAAATAAAGATCCAGCTGAGACTTCTCCACTTGTGTCCTAAATCTGGCACTTTGAAATGTTTCATAATCTTCAAACCCATCAATGTCTTCTCTATCATTAGAGATATTAGTGGCAACAACAGATAAACCAGCACCACTAGAAAGGGAAGAATTTTGGATGTATTCATCAAACAGGCAATACAAAGTACTGATAACAGTGCCAACATATTGCTGAGCATCATTGCCATATAGTTTGGTATAACAGTACTCAACAAACTTAACCTTATAACGTGGATCCAGGACAGCGGCACAAGACAAGATCAGGCTATAGTCTGACCAGTACTGCCTAAATTTTGATTGCGTTTCCTTAACCATGCTAGTCAAGAAATTCTCAGGGCCTCTCACCATATCTAATAAACGACTATAAACCTTCCATACCCACTTGAAATATAAATTTGAAGTAGGGTATCTGGTTCCAGAAAGTATCCGTGTCACCTCAGAAAAGACTTTTAGAAATTTACATAAAAGACTCACTTTTTCCCATTCATCTTCCAACAATTTATGCTTAAAGTTTATGTCCTGTTCCCCTAAGTACAGAAATGCATTCTTGTAACTCAAAGCAACTTCTAGCATGTCATAGGTGAAATTCCACTGAGTGGGAGAATCAAGACACAACTTTTTCTGTGTATCCAAATTCAAACTCTTGGCAACAATATAAAAGTTCCTCTTCCTGTGGGGGGATTGCTTCACATACTTGATTCCAAGGCGCAGTTTTCCAATTACATCAGTGATAAGACTGAAGCCAGCTTCCACAAACAAATTCAAAAGGTGAGCAAAACAGCCAACATGAAAGAATGCACCCTTACAAGGAAGGTACTTTTTGGTATCTAGACGTGATTTAAGCATTGCAACAACACAATGATCACTTGATAAGTTATCTAGTGTAATACTGAAAACCTTGTGTTCAATGTTCCATTGAACCATACACAATGCTATCTCATCTCCAATGGATAAACCATCATAAGGAGGCGCTATAAGTTTGAATCTTAAAACCCTCTTCTGCAACCTCCATTCATGGTCAATGAAGTGTGCGGTGACACAATTATAATGATCATCGGTGTTGGATTTCCAAGTGCTGCATGCCAAACAAATTCGACCAGGACATGTTGCTAGCAATTCACGAATGTTCTCCTTCTCCTTCAAGTAGATGGAAATTATATCCTTTTTAATATTCTGTCTACTCACCGTTTGACATTCAGGATATGCAATGGCCATTAAATGCCTAAAACCTGTATCTTCCACCATTTTGAACGGTTGTCCATCAACAACAATCATCATTGCAATTGCTCTGTGAACCTCATCCACATCTAATTCACTGCTCTTTATGGATGTCGTTACTTCAGTCAATGTGGCATGAGAAATTGTGTGATGATCTACATCATTGTTAGCACGTTTAAAGCATGCTCCTATTTTAAGTTGATCTGCATCATGATTTCCCTTTTTTAGACATGCTTCTACATGACGTCTCAAGTGAGAAGTACCACTTGTGGTCTTAGCAGTATATACTCTCCTGCATATCTTACAAATAGCCTTTGAATTCCCACTATGTGCTGGAAGCTTCTCAAAAAAATCCCACACCTTGGATGTTGTTTTGGGTCGCTTTGAGGAATTCTCATATTCTTCATTAATCATGAGCACTGGAGCATTGCTTTCAACTGACATATTCTTGAGAAAATCTGTGTAATGATCATATCAAAGATCAAGGACAAGTTACAGGTTCCTTGTTTCTAATTACAAAGTGGTTCAGGTCAATGATAACTAAAGTGCAATAATAACAAGTAATAAACACTTTTCACTTCCAAACAATTTAAAGCATGAAGGAAAAATTAGTAGATTAAGAAAAAAAGATAAACAGAAAACCATACATGCACTTGCATTGCATGCAGACACTGAGGACAGAATGTAATCTGGCCAAAGGACAAGAAGAAGTGATCAAGAGAAAGGAGAACAGAATGGAAACTCTTAAATTTTAATCAGGCTTCCATAGGGGAACATAGAAATGTGAATTGAGATTTCAATATTATTAGCAAAATATGAGCTCACCCATGTCAACCTTCTGCTCCTGCTGATCCATTTTTATCAAAAGCTTCACTCTGGCCTAGTTATTTTGAATCAATCTTACATGAGATCTGTAAAAAATGACAACAGAAAAAACTAGAACTGAAACCTGATTAAGTCAGCCAAGAGAACTAAATCATGAGAAAACATATAGGCAAGCTATTTATCATCAGATTTTGATAGTTCGAGGAAAGCATAGGAAAAAGTGATTCCTAAAAATATTCAAATTCTCAAGAAATTTCAATGGACCTATCAAGGCTGCCTTGATGAATGATTCGTGCTGCTATGTCATTCAACACTTATATATATA